TAAGTTCATGAAGGAATACAGTAATAGGGTGTAAATGTATGTAGGGAAGGTTTGGGTGTAAATGTATGTAGGGAAGATCATGTCCCAACAGCTGATCATGTTGATAACCTCTTATCTTAGCTTGCATAACGACCAAGGTCAGTTTCAGTCACACATTAAATAGCCCTTCTAACATTTTTTGTACGGCATATAATTCATGGAGTAAATCCTGTGAAGTGTGAATGGTATGGATGTAACCAGGATCTGAATCAGGGCTGGGCAAGATGCAGCCCCGGGGCTGGCTGCGGCCCACCTAACACTTTGATCCGGCCCTTGAGATGTATCTGGCTGCTTTCTAGTCATATCCTCCTGCCCATGCCACTGAATTTCTAGGCAGTGGCTCAGGCAGCAGGATCCTATTTAAATGGCTCAGGAGTCCCAGTCCGGGTGCTACCCTGGCAGAGGCTGGAGCAGCGAGTCTTTTAAATAGCCACAGCAACCCTGGGTGGCTGCCAAATAATGTGGTAGTGATGGAGCTGCAAACCCTTTGCTGTGCTTTTAATTCCAAGTCTCCAACCCCAGACAACTCTGGGAGAAGGCTAGTCCCCAGACCTACCTCTTTTGCCCCAAGACCTGCCCATTCCAGGGGAGGGGAGTCAGCTGGTGACCACACAGCAAAATTCATTAAGGGTATGTCTACACGATGGGATAAGGTTGAATTAAGATACACAACTTCAGCTATGTTAATTGCATAGCTGAAGTCAAAGTACTCCATCCCCCGCTGGGCTAGTGTGGCTCTCCTGCTACACCTCCCTTTAATCAGCTAACTGGTTAAACATTACATCTAAATAGTTAGCCAATTAAATGGGTTTTTACATATCTAGTTTGTAACTCCTTCTATGGGTGATAAGGTCAGGGCAGAGAGAGAACTTGTGTGATAATTTTAGGCAACACAAACTGTATTTAGATTTAGTAATGGGAGGGTGACAACTAGTCACAAAAAATAATCATTTATAGTTATTACAATAGACTTTACTCCCTGCCTCCCAATGAAGCATGAGATTGTAATCTGATCTAACTGAATTTTTGAAGAAGGAAATACTAGTTCTCCTGCTGCAAAACTGTTTATATAGTATAGTCATTAAAGGTCTGTACTATGACATGCAGCAGTTTAACTACAGTGAGATGCAGTGTTCAGCCAGCACATTAACATCACAAACTGATGCATGGTAGTTTTACTAAAGCTAATTCCCTTACTAACAATACTAAGTAAATATTTCCATTTGAGTTATTAGTGATTCTAAAGACACAGATTACTTCTATTTAAAAATCAAGATACACTAGGCTATTAATTAGACGTTATAACAGTGTCAACTTTGAGTAGGAATAACCCACTTCATAAATAAAGAAACCTGAAATAGAAATTAAACTTCAGCAGAGTGGAAACAGTGAGGCAAGGAATTCCATAGAGACTGGCAAGAGCCTTAGTGAAGTTAGTGGAACAAGATTCAAAGCAAGTTTTTCACAAAATGCACATATATATTTCCTGCATTTCATTGGGCTCTTCATATCATCAGATCTAATATGATAAATGAAGTCAGACCCAGCGATCAAAGTGCATTCGTGTTAAGTTTACTGCCAACTTACATTCATAATAATCAGATCCTCCCACTTTGAAACTTATGTAATACTCTGCCATGAATAGTTCATTGAAAAGTGCCCATCATTCAATATTTTTACCGTATTTTTTCAAATTTAAGTAACAACTATTAAAGTGTAATTCTCTACCCCAAAATGTACAAAATCATCAAGGGGTTGCAAAGAAAAGCACTAAGTCAGAAGACGTCGAAGTTGACATTGTATGAATGATCTTAACTAAATCAGAAAGAGGAAAATGTTTAATGAATGACAAAACTGACATCCAAAGTAAACTTTTACAGTACCACAAACTAACCAACTTGGCAGCATCCTCAGGTGCTGTCTCCAGGAAGCAAGAAGTAATGTCAATAAAAAGTCAGAGCCCATGTTAGAAGAAGCACAGAAACAGGCCACCTTAGGGCTTCATCCTGATTAGCGATGTAAGTGACTAGTCAACTAAGCATAAGCTTATCCGATAGCCAAGTAGTGACTGACTAGCCACTTCCCCCTCTTGCTGCTTCTATCAGAGGTGTAAAGCAATACAAATTGTATCAACTGTCCAATTAACTTGGTAACTGCAATTTAATATCCCTACTCCTGATTAACCTGGGATTTGAAGGCACTCAGCACCTTGAAGGATGGTGTCTAGTAGCTGAATAAAATGAATCCTGGCTGATCACATGAATTTACAGAACAAATGAAAAGGGATATCATAAATAAGTTTGAGAGGTCAGAAACTGTAGTTGATTTCCGAAGGCCTCAAAACAATTACCTAAGCAACGTTAACTGTTGATCATATTAATGTGTCATAATTAAAAAGGAATAAGGTCATTTCTAATTCTATTACAATTGGACAATGGCTAGAAAGTTATCTACAACTATTTGCTAAAAAACCTGAACTCACTTCTGCCTTCTTCGGGAAGTTTTTCTGCTCATTATCCATTAATATTTACTGGTAGAAATACTTTCCATAAATAGCAAAATTATTAACAAATTAGATAGTATTCATGGAAAACAAAATATAAACTCAAACATTGTTTAGGTCAGGAACCATCTCTCACTGTGTGTTTGTACAACACCTGGTACAATAAGATCTCAATCTTGGTTAGAGCCTCTAGTCTAGGTACTACCATGATACAAATTACCATGATACACCTTTGAGTATTGACACTTTATTTTAAGAGTTATGCTCACCAAATGGAGAAACACAGAAAAATACCATGTGATCTATATGTCCAAGCATAACTCCCTAACTGAGTTTGAATTTCAATTACTGAATGCACACAACATTACCTGAAAGATCTACAGACCAAGACATATTCAATAAAGTTGTTCAGAAAATAATGTTGAATAAATTTAGGAAAACAAAACTGCTCGCATACACTCTGCAAACCAACAAGAAAGGGGGCTAACTTCATCAAAGTTCCTGTAATCAGCCGCTGGTCAGTTTCAACAGCGGCTGAATCTGGACGCCAGTTCCGACTTACATACAAATTCAACTTAAGAACAAACCTACAGTCCCTATCTTGTACGTAACCCGGGGACTGCCTGTACAACTCTTTTTGACATCTGCAATTCAGAACTGCTGCAGCAGAACTACACAGATCATGACCATTTCTCTTTATTGATTCATGGGAAAAGTATGAACAGTGCCCAAAGGGCTTTGGCAAAAATGAAAAATTACTAACGTAGCAGACACCACCACACCTCACACGACATCCGAGAGGGTGAAAGAACAGGAACAATTCCCCCAACAATTCAGATGTACTAAGGCTGACTTTGGAAGTAGACAGCTCCTCCTCCAGAAGATTGAGCCCAGAAATGGGTCCAGGGTCAGCATTCTAGGCATCTCTCTTTAACCTGGAAGCTCACTGGACAAGGGAGGAGCTCTATTTTTGTGCAGCTGAGGGCATCCGCCTCCAGGCGGACTCGGGTCACCACCAGCGGACAAAGGGCAGCGCCACTTGCTGAGTTTGGTAGTTTGGTCCGAAGTGAGCAAGTGCCTATTGCCGCTCCCCTCCCTGCCACTTTGCGGGTGGGAGGAGGGGGAAGAAAGAGGGGAGTCACACCTGTCACAGCCCATCACCAGGAGGGGGCGGTGGGCCATTTCAGTGGACACCCCACCCCAGGAGCTGCAGCCTGCCTATTCGGCTCCTCCCTTCCTTGCTAGCACCTTCTCCAGGCCCCTCAGTGCACTGCATCCATAGAACCATCATGAATATTTTCTTCTCCAACCGACTTGATGAGCATTGACTGCTCCCCCAAGACATAGACAAGTATCTCTATCCATGCTTTATAGCTAGGAAGATGGGCACAGAGCTATGAAATCACTTTCCAAGGGCCACAGAGACACTTACCTTCATCAGTGCCAGGGTAGAAACTAACCTCTCATTAGCCTCAATATGCCATGCTAGCCAAGTATCTCCTGAAAAATAGGCTATTGGAATCCTAATATCTTCCTCATAACATCCTAATATCTCTGCATATACTGATGGCTCTGATGACCTTCTGCTATAGGTTTAAACCTCCACAGCCTTGCACCCTGTGTTGTTAAAAAAAAAAAGTGCCGGTACTCCAGGGGAAAAGTTGTTGAGCTCTGACTGAAGTTGCCGGTACTGCATCTAGCAGTGCCAGTACTGCATACCGGGCAGTACCGTCACAAAAAAAGCACTGGGCACAGGTATCTATGACGATGCGAGTTGCTCTCTGGGGAGAATCACAGAGCTGGCGGGGGGGGAGGGGCAGGAAATTAGGGCAAATAGTTTATTTGGTGAAACATGCAGTGTCGGTTG